GGAATGAATTCTCATCACCACTGCTGATTCCCAGCAGCAGAGCAATGTCTGACTCACCTCCTGTCCCAAGAAAACTTTGTGTTGCCCCAATAAACTTAGTAAGTAAGAAAGAAGGTGATAGTCATAATTCCTGCTATAGACTCAATACCTTCTCCACTCTAGATAATTTGTTATGAGCTTTAAAATGTTACTTGTTCTTTTAAATGTTACTTGCAGAATTTTGCAAGTTTATACATAAGGATGCAATTACTGTAATTTCTTGTCATGAGAGAAGTACACAAGAGGCAAATATAAACTTTTACTGATCTATTGATTCCAACATTTGACAATCTAAAACCAGAGTGAAAGTGGGTGGAAGAATTGTTGGTGGAGTAGCCTTAAAATCTCTACACTGACTCTAACTCTCAACCACAGCCAGACTACTCAATAATTCAACTATAGTGTGATCCACCAATCCCACTACTGGGTTTATATCCATGGAACATAAAATCACTGTTTCGAAGGACACATGCGCTCATATTCATGGCAGCCTTATTCAAAATATCCAAGGTATGGAATCCACCTAGGTATCCATCAAAGGAAAAAAGAATGTAAAATATGCAAAATGGAATTCAGCTATGAAACTTGTGACAAATATCTTGTCTTTTGGGATAATGAAGATGTTAATGGAAGTTATTACATAAAGTAAAAAAGAGCTGAGAAAGACAAATTCAGATGATCTAATACCTGGAATCTGAAAAGCTATAGTAATAAGGAATATACCAATGATTATCAGGAAAGGAAGTGATTGTGGTAGTGAGGTCAGGAAGATACTGTTCAAATGGTAAAAAGCTACAATAAGATATGAGAAATAATTTTAATGATCTACTGTGCAACATGGTGACTATAATTAACAATATATTTTATTATTGGAAAATAATGATTTGTTGGGGAATAATCAGGTGTTCTTGCCACAAACATAACCATGTGAATTAATGCATGTATTGATGAGCTATAGTTAGCCATTTCACAAAGTACATTCCACAAAGTGTTATGAAGCTTAAATAAATGAATTTAAACCTTTCAATTAAAGTAAAAGAATGGTCAAACAACTGGGACAGTCACCAACATTCTCAACTGCAAGATGGCTACAAATAAGAAGTTTCTGTGCCAACCTAGTCCAATCATAATCTGCCTTTAAACACTATCCCCAGGGAATTCCCATTCACAATGAAGTAGGAAAGGCTGTCATCTACAGTTCTGTTTCTCAACCTACCTACTTGTGGCATTTGTGCTAGATGATACTTTGTGGTGATCCATGCTGTGAATCTTAGAAGGTTGAACAACATCCCTGGCTTCAACCCACCAGGGACAACACCACCTCCCCAGTTGTAGCATCTCGAGTTTTCTGCAGACATCAACAAGTATCTCCTGGGTGGACAATCCTCCCTAGTGGAGGACAACTGACCTACAGCATGAGAACTGAGTATGCCCTAATGCAGTTCCAAAAAGAGATCATCCTCGCTTAGTTTATTACTGGGAGAATATCACTGAGCTACTCTGAGTCTCAAATCTGCAAATGAAAAGTGAGTCCTAAAAGTACTGAAAACATAAAATGGACATGTGTAAAAATTAAATAAGGCAATCCTCCAATTCTAACTTCAGTCCATGCTACATAAAATGTATTAAGAATATATTTTATTATTACCAAATATTTAATAAATGAAAATTTAGTAACAATTATTGTGTTCCAAAATTTAAAAACCTACATACATTACACAAAATATGAAAAATCCAAGAGTTATAGTAATGCCCCTATGGTTTTGTAAGAAATGTACACAAATCTCTACCATGAGGAAAAGGGAGAGTTTTGGGGTTGCATAGTAATTTTTGAAACTATAAAGAGTTTTGTCCTCTCTAAAAGTCAAGGATTTGGCATTCTATGAAATCTAGCAAAGTCAGGAACCTCAGACTATGGAGATAATTATAGGATTATGAGAAACAGCAAAGCAGGTTTTACTTGTGGAAGGAAAGTAATTTCGTGGGGAAGGCATAATAAAGTCTCATTTCAAGTGATTTCTGATCTGGTCTCTTGGGAGCACAGATTGAGCAGGAAATTTTTCCTTTCTCCTCACACCAATGTCCCAGAGGGAAATCAGGTGAGCAGTGGTTGGAGTAACAAAATGAAATGTACCTTATGAGCAGGCAGGGAGGTATAAATACATCCCCTCATGTTCTCACTCAGAGGGTACAATCCTGGACAGGATATGGTGGCTCCTTTTGGAGTTCTAAGCCCAGCTGGAAGACAAATGCAACAATCCCTCCTGCTGTCTTGTCAGGGGCCAAGCTTCAGTCTGCCTCATCAACCATACAAGAAGGAATCCAGATTTCCACACAGAGACCTTCTTCTTATAGAACCCATACAGGTGAGTCTAAGACAACAGAAGTATTGTGGGAAATGTTCAGCAAAAATGGAAGGTGACAAAAGTTACCTGAAGTCAACTCAGGACCCAGTCAGCATAGCCCCAAAGCTGAGAGATTGCTGTGTGTGTGTGTGCTTAGTTTATTAATTAACTGGAAATTTATTTAACATTTTTAAGAGAATAGACTTTTAGACACTGCCATAATTTCTGAAAATTGTATGATTGGAATTGGATTAGACTGAAGGAAGAAATGGTGTGATATATTCTCATAAAGTCAGACAATGCATGTCGAAGGAGTTTTACAGTTAGGGAGTAGAAAGGTGACTATTAGGTTTAAAGGGATGTACTGTGAAGTAAGTGAACTTTTCCATTTTTTAAAAAATTTTTATTCGTGTATCTTAAGTGTGATATTTCCATGCATATGAATAATTTACTTAGATCAAATTAATCCCTCTATTGTTATTTCTTGCTTCAAGCCCTCACTTAAACAATTTAAAGGGTACATTATTCTATTTTGATCCATGCATATAAAGTGCTTCATTCATGTTTGCCCCTATCACGCTCTTCTTTCACCCTCCTCATACTACTGGTTCTCCTACCCAATGGTTCACCTTTTACACTCATGTCATTCTTCATATTTAGTTTTATTATGGAATATGTTTAAGCTTGTTTCCATATTGATTACAAAGACCATAATAATGGACTACTTAGAATCCTTTTGATAACAGCTAGTGAAAACACCCATTGCATCGTGATTTCTCCTGTGCTAAGTATTTGCATAACCAAAATTCTGTTTGATAGGTAAAGAGGAAAACTAAAGAGTTTTAGGTTAAATTCTGTCATTAGCTCTACATGTCATTTGCTTCTAAGGGCACTGAGTGTGTCTACTATTTTATCTCATTTCTTAAAAGAAAGTATCAAAATTTTTTTCAGTTTGCTGTTTGCCATTTAACTCTTTTACATTTGTATATAGCTATCTGGAGTGGAAGTGGAAATGAATAAATTTATTGAAGTCCTAACCCACAATTGCCTTTTTTTCCCTCAAAAAGTGGTATTTATTCAAAGGAAAAAAGACAAGATGTTCATCCCTTGGCTCCCATCCTTCCATACACCTACAACTGCCTTTGAAATTTAGAAAGTTCTTCTGTGTGATCAATAATAATCTCCTTTTATATGTTTTGACTTCTTATTAAATATCTCTATTTCTCTATTACTTTTGCTTTTCGTTATTTCTATTTTTATAAGTAGCCATCATCTTCTGAAATCTTGGGAAGCATATTATCTTGCATTAAGCTAACACTCACCCACATACTTCTCATAAGTATATTTTTATACATAGAAGCTTCATTATGTTTATGGAGATTCCCTTTCTGTACAATGGGTATAAATGATTAGTATCATGGGGCTACTGTGAGTAATGAGTGAGAAAGTGCATGTAACAACTCATAAAGCGAGCTATTATATTATTTTGATCATGGTTTCTAGTCCAATTATGGTTGCTATAGTGCCCAGTGTCCAAAGCACATGTGAATCCATTTATGTTTTTCTATTATAAAATAACTTAGGATAGTGTTTATTCCACTGTTCCTAAAAAGCAGAAATTTATTATTTGCTTTATATGACTTTGTCAATGAAATCTGGAAATAAAACTTCATTGATGGGATTAATCTATTGTTATTTTAGAGCACTTGGTTGTAAATATATTTTGGATTTTCATTCAATACAGTATATTTGAAACAATTTACTTACCACAGGAATCTCCTTAGTGTATAAATTTTTACCATTGTAAATTTTTTCAACATTTTCAGAATTTTTCATGTTGGAGAAAACACATAAATGAACAAAGCAGGAAGATGTATGTTCCTCTGGATCTTCCATAAAAGGAACAAGTTAAAAAATGATGAACTAAATCAACATGAGATCTTATGAAGGAAGTGGATAGATTTTCATGACAGAGGCAGGATTTTATAAACATTATTATAGAATGAACAGTCTGTATAACTTGATTACTGAACTTTGTATATGACAAATGGGAATAATATCTTACCATGGGGTTGGTTTCATTTTGTTAGCATTTTGTAAGGATTTTTGCACCTGCATTTCTCAAGGGCACTAGACTGCAATTATTTTTCCTGTAGCATATATGTATGATAAAACTGTGAGTCTTAATATACAAATGCCTGGATCTTAAATAATGAATAAAATAAGATGAGAAACACTAGGAGGCACAGTATTTTATTGAAATTTAAATATTGCATTATTTCACATACATGAGATATCTAAAGTAGTCAGACTCACAAATCCATGGAATAGAATGGTTAGGGTTAGGGTTAGAATTTACATTTACATCACTCAAATGTATAAAAGAATTGCCCATTTAGGGATGGGAGGCATGCTTCAAATGCAAGCATGAAGCCCTGAGTTCAAACTCCAGTACCACTAAAAAAGAACTGTTCATTAGAACTGTAGTGAATACAAAGTAAGAAATAATATATACTCAGAGACAGGAATTCACAATTAGAGATTATACAGGGGACTTCTACAGACCTAATACCAAAAGTAGCCATGTTATATTTCTCTTTCTTGTAATCACAGCACATGGAATCACGAAATTATACACAATTTTCAGACTTTCTTCTTCTGGGATTTGCAGAGGGTGAAGAATGGCAGCCTCTCATATTTGGACTTTTCTTCTTCATGTACCTGATCACAGTACTTGGGAACCTACTCATCATTCTGGTCACAATCTTAGACTCCCACCTGCACACACCCATGTACTTCTTCCTCTCCAACCTGTCCTTTGTGGATATCTGCTTTACTTCCACCACCATCCCCAAGATGCTTGTGAACATACAGACACACAGCAAGGTCATCACCTACATAGATTGCATCACCCAGATATATTTTGTGATATTATTTGCATGTTTGGACAACTTCCTCCTGGCTGTGATGGCCTATGACCGCTTTGTGGCCATCTGTTACCCTCTACATTATAAGGTAATAATGAAGCCCCAGCTCTGTGGATTCCTGTTACTGGTGTGCTGGGTCATAAGTGCCCTGAATTCCTTGTTACACAGCTTAATGGTGTTGAGGCTGTCCTTCTGCAGAAACACAGAAGTCCCGCACTTTTTCTGTGAACTTGATCAGTTGGTTCACCTTGCCTGTTCTGACACTTTTCTTAATAATATAGTGATGAATTTTGTAGCTGGGTTGTTGGGTGGCGGTCCTCTCATTGGCATCCTTTGTTCTTATGCTAAGATAGTTTCCTCTATACATAAAATATCATCGGCTCAGAGGAAATGCAAGGTATTTTCCACTTGTGCATCTCACATCTCAGTTGTCTTCTTATTTTATTGTACAGTCCTGGGAGTGTACCTCAGTTCTGCTATGACCCAAAACCTACAATCAACTTCAACTGTCTCAGTGATGTACACTGTTGTCGCCCCCATGCTGAATCCCTTCATCTATAGTCTGAGGAATAAGGACATAAAGAGGGCTTTGAAAACATTCTTTGAGAAAGAAACTAGAAAAGACCCCATTTTTCTGAGACTAAAAAGTTGCTGTAGATTGAAAGACTCTAATCCACAGAGGAAGAAATTATAACATTGTCATCAGATTGCAGAAGCAGAATTTGCTCTTACTTGGGAGGAATTTAGATTTCTTTGGTTTGAATTTCTCTATAAAGTTTATGTAACAGAACTTGATAAGCTTTCTTCTCTCTGACGTAAATAGTTTTTCCCTTTATCACTTGCATAGTTCCTTAAAGTTATTTTCAAACTTGAATTCGAAATATGAGGAACTCCCATTTATTTCTGGAGACAAAATTAATTTCATAGGAATAATTTCTTCTATGTGCCAAAAAAAGGCAGTGTTATTTTTCTATTGTTACTATGTAACATTCATGTGTTGTACTCCACCAATGGAAAAACAGTACACTTGAAAATTAAGGCCAATTAGATAATTTTACACTAGAGGAAATTGTGAGACCACAGTTTTGCACATCTAAGTCATCATTCTTTCATTCAATACTATTTTATCTACTCTTACTGATAATGAAGATTAATAAACTGGTGTGTTTGGTAACTCATCATTGGCTTGTCTTCAAGCCATCATCAGAATTCTGTATTCTGATTCAGGTTGGTGTCCACAGTTCCTACCACAGTCACTGATTAAACCTAATTATCAACCACATGACTCCAAATGAAACCTACATGGAAAAACTAATTTGAAATAATAAATTGTTTCACAGAGTCAGAGAGGACCTGAAATACCAGAGAATCATCTACTTATCATTATTACCTTGTATTATTATGCAAAATATCCCTTTTCATGCTGTGAGTTATTGAAGTGTACAAGTGAGCTGTCCCATGTGTAAGGTGGTTATTCATTAAGGATTGTGTGACATGTTTTATATTTTTATGGAATATCTATACATTTTTTGAAATCTTCCAGTGCTGCCAAAAACTATGAATACTTCCATTTTTCTAAATGAAATGTACTCTGGTTTTTTTAGGGGGGGGTATGTTTCCCAGAACCACTGGAAGGGTGAAGACTGGACAATTACAATGTCATCTATTTTGTGCTTTTGAATAATGTTAATAATAAAAATCAAAGCATAATTCACTAGGAAGCCTGAATGCCTACACCATAATGTAATTTTCCTTCACAAGCTCCTCTAAACTAGCATCCATGTATTTTTACCTGGAAAGTAATCTCCATGTAGTCATTTGTAAATGCAGTTATATAAAATAACCTTGAATAAATGAATAAAAGCTCCTTTACATCATTGTGAATAAGTGTTAGAATAACAAAGGACTGACATTATTCTCAAGTAGGGAAGGGAAGAATTCTCTGGGAATCATGAAGGAGGGGAGGGGACTGCTGAAAAGTCACTGAAAATAAGAAAGGTCATCCAGAAGAAGTAGAAAACAACGTGAAGCACCAACCTTGACTCACTTGAGGTGGGGAGGAGAAGGTGAATCTGAAGCACAATCATAAAGCAGGCCAGGCAACCCTGGTAACAGACAGGCAGTCCTAGTCACAGGACAGCTGGCGGTTCTAACAAATCTTAAATCAGTTATGGGGATCTCAGTGAGGTCTAACCAGACACCATCTTTACAGTGGGGCTATTGTCAGACTGTGGTACTTTGGGACCAATAAGCAAGGGTCTGGGGGCCTTGCAACATCCTTCCAGTGTCTGGTTGGAAAATGATCACAAAGGTGGTCATAAAGAAGAGGAGGGTCTCACATGGGCCAATGAGAAGTTTAAACTGTGAGAGGCTCTAGCAGTAAAGGCCATGGTGATACCTGGCCCCACCTTCTGTGGCCAGGAAGGAGCCCATTGCCTGTAGACTACTCTGAAACAAGCTCTGAAGCTTTGAGTGGGCATTGTTTAGCTTTTATTATCTCTTCCTAAAAAAACTAATAACAGATCTGCCATAAAATCCAGCAGTACCACTCCCAGGGATATACCCAAAGGAATGTGAATGAGCTTACAACAAAGGCACCTGCACACCCATATTTGTTGCACCACTATTCACAATAAATAAGCTATGGAAACAGCCAGATGCCCCATTGCTGATGAATGGATTAAGAAAATGTGGTATTTATACACAATGGAATTTTACTCAGCCATGAAGAAGAATGACATTCTGTCATTCTCAGGTAAATGGTTAGAACTGGAAAACATCTTGAGTGAAGTTAATCAGGCTCATAAGCCAAAAAGGTGCATATTCTCTTCATATGCTGATTATAGACATAAAACAAATGCAGCAATGTTTGGGACATGGGTAGCACTAGAGGAGGCTGTGAATGAGAGGAATGAAACAATGGAAGGAAACAAAAAACTTGAATATGGTTGATATGCTCACTGTGTAAGAGTGAATACAGAAATCTTAAAATGGCAGGAGCTACTATTGGAAGGGGACTAGGAAGGAGTGAAGAAGACTAGAAGAGATGAACCAGTTGGGGTTGTAATACATGTATCCATGGAACAACATAAGGAAACTCCATGTGTAGCTATTTTAACCTCAAACTAGCAAAAGCATCAAGTTTTTCTTTTCATGTTTTATGTTTTTTCTCCTACAAAACTGGATAACAGGAGGGCAGAACAGTTTCTGGGGGGGAGGAGAGGGGATGACACTAGTTGGAGGGTGGTGGGGGGAGAGTAGGAGGATGGATAAGGTGCAAAAAATGTGTACACATGCATGGAAATACAAAAATGATACCTGTTGAAACTGTTCCAGGAATCAGTTTAGGGGAGATGAAGCAGCAATTTGGAAGGGATACATTCAAGTAAGATATATGTGATACATAGTAAGAATGTTTGCAAATGCCACAATGTACCCATATCCAGCACAATAATAAAGGAAAAAATGTCATTTGATCTTCAAAACAAAATTAAAAAGACCCAAGTTCAAAAATCAGCCTTTCCAGTACTTTTTGACTGATACTTCTCAGTAAATTATGTTCTGTGATCATGTTATTACTTTACCTTATATTATTCTCTGGAACATTTGTGATATTCTGGCCTCTGGAAAGTTTTCAGTTTTGTTTAAAGAATAAATTGCTTAAATAATAAAAGTAAAGTAAATTTTTCCTAAGGAAACATGGACAGAATTCACATAGAGTGAAAAGTTGTGTCCTGTCCCTTAACATTTATTAGAATATCAAGTAAATGAAACGCCATCTTGCCTTATGAATCCAGTTTGCCAATTTGGTCCTACATTTGCAAAAGACCAAAATTACAGATATATGGTGATATTCTTATATGTGTGTGTGTGTGTGTGTGTGTGTGTGTGTGTGTGTGTGTGTGTTGATGGAAATGGGATACAGGGCCTTAAATATGCTGCACAAGCACTGTGCCATCCCTAGTTTACAAGATTACAGTCCTTACATAGAAATGTCCTTTAGAGTTTGATCATTTTAACACTTCCTAGGACACATGTGAGCATGTATTTGGTAATCACCCTGACAGATTCCACAATTATCTAGAATGTGAGTTTGAAAAGGTCCATGTGCTAACCTTTGTTCTTCAGAAAGAGAATGATTTGAGGGAGTTGAGGGATTTGAAGAAATTCTAAAAATCATGATATTGAATAATTGCTACCAGGTCAAGAAAATATAGTTAAAATGAGAAGATGGGGCTGGAGATGTTGCTTAAGTGGGAGAACCTCTGCTTTGTAAATGTGACACCTTGAGTTGAAACCTCAATGCCACCAAAAAAATGAGATGAACAAAGAGAGGAGTTCCTTCATTCTCTAATAAGGTACACAAGTGTTATGCTGCTCCACCCATTGGTCATGACATGTGCTGAAATCTAAACATATGGGATGATACCTACGAACAGTATAATGGACTTTATATCTTTTTGGTTGGACCATTCAAAGAAAAAGCTTTCAGATACTCCTCTTATAAAAAGGCATTAAAAATTTCCTAGTTTGAGGCTGGCTCAGGTGGCAAGAGCACTTGTGTAGCAAACCCCACTGCCATCAAAAAACTTCCCAGTATAGACTTGGGGTAGAGCTCAAGTGGTAGAGCACTATCTTTAGCAAGTTTGAGAGCCTGAGCTCAATCCCAAGTACTGCAAAAAATCCAGTTTTAGAGTGGAAAATATACCTTATTTACCATTATATCAAGATACAACTTGAAATGTTAATCAGTGTCTTCATATTACCTCAACCATTCCCTGGATAACTGAAAGTTATCTAAGTTATCAAATGGTTATCCAAAGTTATCAATGGCTCTTTCTGGTGTTTCAAGAGTAGACTTACATAGACGCCACTTTACTCATAGGAAAACCAAATTATGGGAGCACTGTATAAATAACCATAAGCCTTTCTCAAACTAGCAGGTGCTCCAAAGTGTAAGGAGAATGTAATGTCATTCACTCTGTGCAATACCAGTGATAATACAAAAACAAAGGCAGTCAAAATCCTTTCAAATAACTTTAACAGGATGAGGAGTGTAAATAACTGGTAGAGGGCATTCCTATCATGCACAAGGTCTGGGGTTTCACTCACAGTACATGAACATGTACACACATACACACAAATACAGAGAAAGAGAGAGAGAGAGAGAGAGAGAGAGAGAGAGAGAGAGAGAGAGAGAGAGAGAGAGAGAGAATCAGTAAACAGGTGCAGAAACATAAGAATACTGTGACCCAAAGAAGTGAGATATAGAATTCATGTCCAAAATAGAGAGCATATATTACATGCACTAAATCTTTTAAATAGGAAGAATAAAGATGACTAATACATTGAACTTATGGAGAAACATGACTGTTAATCTCAGGAATGCAGGACATATATACAATGATGTGCACACCCATATACTTGAGCAGTTCCTGAAACAGCATACAAAGTGCATTAGATGTGGAAAGATGGAGATCAATAAGGTCATTGTCACTCATTCTGAATGTTTGTGTATGGTTATGGCTTCCACGATTTGGAATTTAATCCCCATTGTGAAGTTTGAAAGTAGTGGAAACATAATCTAATTTTGGCATCTAGAGACAGGCCTTTAGTATGTGATTAAAATTAGATAAGGTCATGAGTATGAATTCTCTATGACTGAATGCTGGTAGCTATGTAAAAAGTAGAGCA